GCATCGAGCATGGATCCCTGAGCATTTGGCACAGCCAGCCTAACCTGTTGTCTGTCCCCCTGGAAGAGTGTTATGGGTCTCACTGCACTTGAGCCACCTTAGTCCTTGGGCGGGGATCTGGGAACACCGGCAGGGGCCAGTTGGAGCTTCCCAAGGCTCCTGCTTATTTATTTTACCATCATCACTTGAAGCCAATATTTAAACCTCACCAAGGCAACAGCCCAAATCTCCCGGTCCTTGGCCCCCATCCCGCCACATACTGTGGGGACAGGGCGGGAGGGGGAGCAAGGAAAATGAGTCACCCGTGCCCCTTTCCCCCAACCACCCGGGGAAGCAGTGACCTGAGAAGCAAATCGCGGCTTCTCTTACAGGGCAATTGTCTCTTTTGTGGTGCTACGACTGAGCACATTTAACGCAAGCAGAACGGGGCTTGCAAGACCTCTGTGCTGACATTTTACTTTTGCTGCTGTGGTGAGCCCCACGGTTTTCAAACTTCTTATTGAAGTTTAATGTGCCTGAAGAAAGTGTACGAATCCAAGTGCACAACTTCCACAAACTGTCAGTTTTCGCAAACCAAACATACTGGCACCAGGATCAAGGATCAGCACGTGACCAGCCCCAACCCAGTCCCCCTCACCCCCCCCAGCCCCTTGTCACCATAGCCCCAAGGCAAGCGTTATCCTGGTTTTGCCTGTTTTTATACTTTGTGTAAATGGGGTCATGCACTCTGTTCTCTTTTGGGTTGAAGCCAGTAGAATTTTTAGGGTTGAGTTGCGTCCTCACCTCCAGCTCCAGGGAGGAGCGGATAAAGAGGGGCAGCACGCCCTTTCCCTGTGCCAGGGCCACATGGCTGCCAACAGAGGGACTGGAATGCCTGACTTCAGCAGATATACAGAATGGGGGGTGGGGTCTTGATTTGAGAACAAAAAGGCTCAGCATCTTTTCTCCTTGTGCTGTGTGACTCAGGCTTTCCCGGTTTGCATCCATCCGGGATCGGGGACAGAGAAAGGAGGGTAACCCAGAGTCACCAATAAGCCTGAGCAAGTGGGGTCTCTGGAGCCCCATCCCCCAGAAGCCCTCACTTTCAGCAGGATGCTGGGGCACCCCACATCCTCTTTGCTGCCGGTGAGTCTCTCCACCACGGGGCTGGCTCCAGTCACTCCTGGTTTTATGCCTCGTTGGTGCAGGGCAGGGATTCTAGCAGCTTGGGCCCGGCGAGTCCCTGTGTCCCTGGGCGGGCCTGGGCTCCTGTTGGCCTGGTCAGCGCCCTCGTGCAGCCCCCCCAGGGCTGCTGTGACATCCGCTGCTGCACAGATCTTACACTCTCTATGCTGGGGTTGGGGAGAGGGGGGTGGTTCTCGGTGCCTCACATCACTTGGGCTGGCGAGTCCCAAACTATCTACAGAGAAAGACCGGATTTTAAAATTTCCAATCCATTGCAGACGGCTGCTTTTGTAAAATACAGTACCAATGACATACTAGAGACAATGAAATGAGAGACGCAAAAGCCGTATGAAATACGAGCCCCAGTTATTATTATTATCAGATTCAAGGATCACCTACGACGTTTCAAAAACATATAAGCAGGACGAACTCAACAGGGGACAGGCACATACCAGTGTCTGCGAGCTTCCTCTTGGTGTCTGTACTTGTTATGCGGTAGACGAGTGGCGAAGCATTGGCCGCCCGGGCACAGGCGTGGGCCCTTCCAGAACGCTGCCTTCCGCCACCCCCTGTCCGCCTCGGGCTCATCTTGAAGGACTCTGCAGTCCGTGCCTGCCTTGCGGCCTCCTTCCCACCTCCTCGGCATCCCCATCTTCCTTCCGATCTCTATGTGTGTTGCTTTAGCTTTAGCTGAAGTGAAAGAGACAGAAACCCCCACGCACCCACTGCAGGATCCTGGCCCCAGGGTCCCAAACACGTGCCTAGGCCTTGCTCTCCTATGTTTCTTCTTGATCCTTAGGAGTTGTGGGTGACCAGAGGACGATGCCACACTCTGATCCTCTCTTCTCCCTTCTCCACCCACGTCCTGTGTTGAATCCTGGTTCCTGGTCTCTCCTCAGGGAGACGCTGAGGGCATGGGAAAGGGACCTCTGCAGTGTGCCTTTGCCTCCTCCCTGAGTGTCTCAGTCCTGCGGTTCAATCCCAAGTCCATCTGTTTTGCGGCTTTTCCTCGAGGGCTTTTCCTCTTGGGACTCATGGGAGCCGGCAGCTGCATTCTGGCCGAGGTCACTGCCAGGTTTATAACCAAGTACGCACTGTCCTCTATTCCCGCAGGACCTCCAAGGTCCTCCTTCCCCTCTCCCTCCGTGGCCATCCAGTTCGTGGCAGCCTCCTTAAAGGACTGCCCACAGATGCCTCCCCTGGCCCCAAGTGCCACCAAACTCATCTTACCAGAATGCCATGAGTATGTAAAGGACAGAACACAGGAAGGGGGTGGTGAGGAGGGTAAAGTGCATTTTCTACATGAGATTGGACTTATTTGGGCTTTCGGGACAGACGGCTTGGTGAGGACAAATTAACCCCAACCAGAGACACATGTAGAGCCTGCCCCTATGGATTTATGAGCTGTCACCGTCCTCGCTGTGATACAAGCTTTCCTGCTTCTCCCTTTCTCTCATTCTTTTGCTTTCTTTCTTTCTTTTTAATAACACTGACTGCATAACTGCATATTTTCTTTAAACCAAACCATCTGTTTACTAGCTTTTATAAGCAGTAATAATGACATTGAGGACCCAAGAGCTGTTTGGGTCCAGGCACTTTCTCTGGCTGTCTCTTCAGAGAACCCGAGAAGGGGTTAAGTGCCGCAGTGTGGGGGCTGGAGGTGACACATCCCCCAGAGTTGTCTTCTTCAACCTGGAGTCGCCCGCTAGAGCAGCGTCTCTTTGCAGAGGCTCGGCAGAGCCGCGGCTGCTTTTCAGTCGCTCCCTTTGCTGCAGTTCTGTCACAGGACCTTTGGGTCACCTGCCTGCGGCGAGCTGCCTGCTGGATGAGGCACTAGCGTGGAGGAGCTGGGGGATGAGGTGGCTGCTCAAATTGGGCTTCTAAGGTGCCAAGAGATCACTCTGAGGGAATGTACTGAGCTCTGAGTACGGGCGAGCCCAGGAAAACAATTCGACAACACTGCGGAGTGCCTAGGTGACAGAGAAAAAAAGAGGAGTCTGTTTGGGAACAGATTTCAGCCTCCACTTCCAAGGCATTAGTAATTCAAGCAGCAGTGAGTGTAATATTTACTTGGGAAACTATGAAGAGTCATATAACAATGTTCTTTTAACAGCTTTCATCATCAGCTCGCTTGGTTCCGAGAGCAGTCTGCCACCTAATCATCAACAGAGGCGCGCTCTGCCATCTGGCTGCCCAGCGTCCGTGCTGCTGTCGGCTGGCACTTGGGCCCCTTCTGTGCGAGGTGTCCTCCATCACCAGGCTGGTGTCACCAGCTGGCCCCAGGAATTCACAGTGGTAAAGGACGGCACAGCTGGCTTCTTGCACCAGAAGGAAATCAGAGACAGTAGGGCTGGCAACCTCAGTGCCTGGCCCAGCAAACGGGCCAGAGAAAAGACGAAATCTTAGTTCAATAAAACCCTGCACTTTATTTTATTTTGTTGTCTTATTATATCTTTGTTTTGGTTTAAATTTTTATTTTACTTTTTTTGCTGGGGGGAAGGGTAGGAGGTGAGGGACTGAGAGGGTTCCAGGGCAATAGGATTTTCCATTTTAGCACCCAAAAAGTTCCAAACAAATGGGAATGATTTGTCACCGTAGTGGGAGGGGATGTCCCAGGAAAATCAGGTAGCCTCGCCAGGGTTTACCTATAAAGGGGACAGTCTGGGGGTTGGGGGAGGCAGCCAGGCAGCCTGCCAGTGAAGAGGGCAGGTTTTAGGGCCAGGGGCCCTGTGCGGTGGAGTGTACCAAGGGGACCTGGAGGAAAGCCTCCTTGACCCCACCCAGCCCACCATTGCCAGGTGACCCTGGGCTGCCAGATGACTGATTTTTTAGAGAATTTTTTTGTGAAAATTCCCAAATTCTGAAACATTGGCTCACAAATTAAGGACATCCTGCATAGGCCACACAAACACATTTGGTTGCCAAGGTGGCCTCTGGGCAACAGGTTTGCAACCTCTTGACTGCACCATTTCTAAGTTTCCTGTTAGTTCTAAAGTTTAATGATTACACAAACTCCAGCCAGCCATACCCCCAGTTAACTGGAAATGAATCACATGGTTTACTTTGAGGAAGAATAAGCAAATATATATATGTTTTAAAAGTGGACTTCAGGTGTTTAGTTTTAAAAAGCAGCTTCTGCAAAGTGTCCCGGGCCAGCATATCTCGATTTATTTAGGTGCTGTAGACTCAATATTGTTAAGATGTCTGCTGTAACCTGCATGAACCGTGAAAATATTATGCTAAGTGACAGAAGCCAGACACAAAAGGCCACATGTTGGATGATTCCATTTATATGAAATGTCCAGAATAGGCAAATTCATAGAGACACAAAGCAGAATTGTGGCTGCCAGGGATGGGGGTGGAGGAAAGATGGGGAGTGACTGCTAATGGGTACGGGATTTCTTTTGGGGTTGATGAAAATGTTCTGGAGTATAATAGTGGTGATGGTTCTACAACGTTGTGACTATACCACTGAATTATACACTTCAAAGTGGTGCATTTTATGCTATGTGAATTATATCCCAATTTTAAAATATGCTGTTAGGATGTCAGTTCTCCCCAAATTGATCTACAGGTTTTATGCAATCCCGATCAAA